AAAAATAATATATATAAGAAATTTGTATCATTAAGATGAGAAAACTAAGGTGGATGTGTCAAGTTACTAATAATGATAGAAAATAAATTTTATTTGTGAAAAATTAAGCATAGTTTTGATAGAGAATAAAATGATGGAGAGCTGTTTAAGATGATACAAATATGTGCTAAGAAGACATGTAAATGTTATAATTACAAAATATAAAACTATTTCTATTAATGAAATGCAGAGGTAAAGTAAGACATAGAAAGACTTCATTAGATATTATAAATAAAGAAGTAAATACTCTTAATTTAAATAAAAATATAATTTTTTCATAGAGCTTAATGGTGGGATAATAATGATGTTGCATACTCCAAATGTGGATTTTAAGGCTTTGTTGTTATTATTACCTATTAAATTTTCTTTTTTCATTTTAGGAATAAGTGTATAAGTTTGGATCATACAAGACACAACATGCCAAGTGCAATAGTAAGTTTCATTGAGAAATGTAAAACAACTTAGCTTCGAAATCTTTCTCATGAATCTTTAAGATACTTTAAAACACTCAATAATAGAAGGTATCAAAGTTCTTTTATTATTCATGTTTAATGAGACTATTAATTCTATTTTAGCTTTAATTTTTTAGCAAGTTTTTAGTTAGTGAAACTATAGGTTGACCATATATCTACAATGGAACTAGATGATTATTTATGAGAGCAATAAATTTTATAAACATGTGTGTTTCCCTTCATACCATAAAGGATATATCTGGAAGATCAATTGAGACTCTTAATATATTTCTATATTTTTTTTATATCACCTATCAAATACATCACTAATATCTAAGGTTTTCTTTCTCATCTTGGATGTTCTAAGTAGTTACCTTATAAGATATGTACTTGTTGCTTAAGTTTTGCTTCTCACTATATTTGATTCATAGACCATTTCTTCATCTTTTTGCTAGTGACAATAATTATTTTAGTGGTCTTAATACCTACATTTGGGTACAAAGACCTTTCTGATTTTTTACACCCAAATGTATCAATCATTCAAAAATTTATAATTTCAAAAATAATTTTTTTATAATATTAATTCTAGAATACATACTAAAATACTTGTTGATGGTATAAAAACTATCTTTAGTTGTCCTGTTTCTTTAGAGTAATTTTTTTTTCTCCCAAGCTATAGTATTTATGATAATATTCTTATTACTAAAAAAATTGCTCATGACTCTAAAGATGTTAACTCATTTGTTATTCTTAACTAGATCTCGAGAAAGCTCATGATAAACTATGATAGAATGTTATAATCAAGTTTTATAGAATTTTAAATGTTTACCAAAAAATTTGTTAATTGGATCAAAAATTATATCTCTCCCCCTATATTTGCATGTCTTGTAGATGGAAAGATTTTAAACTACTTTTAAGAGGAAAAGAGATAAGGCGATCCTTTTTCACCTTATCATGGTGGCCTAACTTCTTTCCATGATGCTTAACCAAGCTATAAATGAAGGTAACTTTAATCCCTTTTAACTTTAAGCACAAAATCAAAGTATCATATTTGATGTAGGTTGATGAGATATTAATTCTTTTTGGGGCTAATAGGAAATCTTGTGAAATCATTAAGAAAATCTTTTGATATTACTAACAAAAGGATCAACTTAAATTAATTTTTTTCCCGTAGAAATACTCCTAGGGAAAAGATAAGAGAATTTGATCTTTCTTCAATGTTAGGGAGGGTAAATTTTATTTTATATATCTTGGTTCTTTGATCTCTCTTTGAAAAGACCCATAATTCTATATTGAATGGTATGTCTTTGAATATCCAAAAGAAACATGGTTATTGGAATAGCTCTAACCTTTCCTAAGTTGGCAAATTACTTTTTATACATCACCAATTCATGCTCTCAAAATTACTTGATTTCTTAAAAGGAATCCACATAGAATAAAAAGTATTATTAAAAATTTTCTATAGCAAAACAGAATCATTCTAAAGGAATGGATTAGGATCTTTGTGTCAAAAACAAAATCAACAACCATTAACCAAATCAACACATAACTTCATAACGGCCTTGAACATCTACAATAATAATGCACATAACTATTGGAATTATATATGAAAATTTTCAATCATTCCAAGAGTTCAAGTGTTTTGCTTGAAACTATTTCATAAAACATTACCTACCATTGATAGATTAGCTAAGCTGAACATTTACCCTAATCATACATGTTATTTATGTTATAAATATTTTGATAAAAAAGATCATTTATTTTTTTATTGTCTATTTGCAAAGAGGGTATGGTAGGACTTTGAAAATAAACTTAATGTGTCCTTTGATTTTTTGAATGATTGGAAAAATGGTGCCTAGGTTAAAGAATGTGAAAGTCTTCTAAATATGAGAGCTTATTTCTTGTGGCTAATATGGAAGGCCCACAATGATATGCTCTTTAGGATCTCAAGAAATTTAACTCTCATATTATTTATAAAGCTTTTGCTTATATATTTAGTTCTAAATTTTTTTGACAAGTTTGAAAGCAGAAGAAATCACAAGAGGGTTGATGCAAATTAAACTCTTATGGTTCTTTTCATCGATAGGAGGACTTTAGAGGGGTGAGCTTTGTCATCAAATCTGGCAATAGAAAATGCATCAGCTCTTGGAAGGTTAAGTTACAAGAAATTAAAATTACAATTGGGCACCCAAAAACTTGAAGTCAAATCAGATGCTAAACTACTAATCAAAGTCTTAATCAAAAGAGAAACCTCTCTTGGTTTCTTATGCGAACTTTTTGATGATATTTTATATATTACTAAATTATTTATCAAGTGTAAATTTTCTTTTATATATCAAGAAGGAAATGGATGTGCAAACTAACTTCACACTTTGCTAGTAGAATTAGGACATTTTCATATTCCCATTAAAAGTATAATTGGACCCTAGAATTTGTCAATATTCTATACTCTAAGAAGAATGGTATGATTTGTCATATATTAATCAAGTAATAAAATCATTATTTTCTTTGGAAAAAAATTAATATGCTTCTAAATAGGATATAAACCAGGCTGAAATTTTAAAGATAAGATGACTGATCTCAAAAACCTAACTAAATTAGTGATGTGGAAGGTTTTTTCATCGAAGATTCTAAACAAATTTGAGGAAAGTGTTACTATGACTTTTTGTGCATACTGAGGTTTTAGATCACCTAGAGAAATACCAAATAAAAAATTCATGCAAAATTTATAAGAGTATATTATCTATTGTTTCAAAAGATTCTTATTGTTTGCCACATATTCATTTTGGAGAAAATTCAAAACTCTTTAGGCAATTTTTCTGAAAAATAATTTTTTTTCTCAAAGGTGGCCCTATTTTTGTTTATCCCAAATGATGCCTCTTTTTTTTATATATAATATATAAAATAACCATTATTAATCTCGATAATACCTTTTCCCACCAATTATATTATTTTGCTCCGTTATAGTATTTTGGTCACCACAACAAAAATACTATAATGCCTATTTAAAAATATTATAGATGATACAAATGTACTCATAACATCAACCAAACTAACTTCAAGCCTAAACATTATTGAAAAAAACTATAAGTAAGCCAAAGGAAATCAAAACACACTAGAAATCATTTGATATATCTAACTAAGATTTGATATATATTAATAATTATTTATGAATAAATAACATCACCCTAATAGGGATCAAGAATTAGTCTATTACAGTGTTTTGGTCACTATTATAAAAATATTATAAAACCTATTGAAAACACTATAAATGATTCAAATGGACTCATAAATTCAATTAAATCAATTATAAATCTTAAAATATGACATCATAATGATCTAGGAGTAATGACATTCAAAAAAGCATAAAATAGTATCACTTATAGTATCTTTCGACATCTAAAAAAAATTACTATAATACTATTGAAAAAATATTATAAATATATCAAATAAAAAAAATATAAAAATTCAAAACTGATAAAAAAAATTAGTGGGAAATGTAATATTAGGGTTGTTGAGGGGTATTTTGGAAATTAGAAAAATTAGGAGGCATCATTCGGAAAGCACTAAAATAGAGATGTCTTTTGAAAAAAATTAAAAAAACAATTTTTTTCTTTTTTTGAGGGAAATCGCTAACTCCTTTTATTTTATCATTCTTAAAGGACCAATGAGCTTGATCTTCAAAATGGAAGGACGAAGAGGGCAACTTTCCCTCATTCCTACATCGGTACATACTCAAAGGACTACGACAAAAAGGAAAAAATCAAAGGACCAATGAGCTTGCTAATATAAAAGCTGGACTGTAGCAGCATTCTATCAACCAAGATTAGCAGTAGAACGTGATGTTGAGGTTCTTTCTTAACTGTGTTTGGAATACTCGTGAACTCAATCTTAATCCAATTATGACTCAGTTTCATGAACACATTTACTATTGATTAAAACTAATTAAAGTTATATACGGGCTAAAATTAGTTCACTGAAGGTTTCACTTATTCTTTTGTCCACTTAGACCCTTTGAGCGATTTAAGGTACTAAGTTGGACCTACGGAGGCAGTTGGTCTTTTATCTTAGTGAGTCATGGACACCCTTCGTCGGTAGGAAAATATTCGATGCAAGGCCTTTTTAATTAGGTAATGATAATTTTAAGTAATCAAAGTTGAGCTGTGTAAAATCATCAAAGATTTACATCATAATAACTCTATAAGAAGCGATATGATTACCTTTCAGGTTGATATGATTGTTTCCAGACTGTGTTTCGTGTTGTCTTTTTCGATGCACGTCCCATCAATCTTTTTGTCTTTTTCTTTTTTTGTTTGCTTTAATAATAATTATCAATCGAGAAACTCGATGTCTTTCACGCTATCTTCTATACATCGAATGAAATGGACACTTGATGCTTAGCTCTTTGGTCTTCGTTTCGTTGAGTATTCATTCCCTCCGTGTTTTGGTAATCGCTTATGTTGGTGAATGATGCCAATACTTTAATTGCAACGGTAGGTGAAATGAACATGATGAAGACGAACATTACATCACATGAAAGTATCTATAGCATAGAGGGGACATGAAAGTATCTTATAGCTAAAGCATGACACACCATCTTGTCTGTCGAGTATTACAGTCTGCTTAGATCGTATACCCATGCAGTGACCATTTCTACGGGCGTTGTGATCGTAGCTCAGCCTGAGACACAAAGAGGCCGTGAAATCCGTAAGGAACACGGTGCGGCAGCAGGACTTCCGCAACGATGTCCAAGTCCGGCGATCGAGCGTCCATCACCACGAATCTCGATTCGCCACTCCCCTCGTCGTGCACGTAAGAAACCACGTACCCTTCGTCCTCCCCCTCTCTCTCCCCATCGGCCACGAAGAACGGCTCTCCTCCGAAGCAGGTTGAACCGAAGTCCCGCCGAGCCACCACGCAGTCGCTCTTGCCGGCCAATGTCAAGTCGAGCTTGACGACCCCAGATATCTTGGGCATCGGATCACCCACCCCAAGGTAGGCATAGCGGTTTTTCCGGCCCATATAACGAGGATTTATGACACCAAAGTCGATGTTGGCCGCCGACATCGGTGTCCGCGACACGGCTCCGCTCCTAAGGTCAATCCGCACCATCTCCAAGCAGCTGTGGACGAGCTCCATCCTGTCCAAGGCGTGCTCGACGGAGAGGACGTTGGGGGCCACCAGCACTAGCTCGTCCCCATCTTCCCACGCGTTGAGCGCGTGGACGGGGTTGAAGCCGGGCACCTCGAACCAGCGCATCTCTGCTTCGGAGGTGGCGTAGCGAGGGAGCACTCCGATGCGAGGCACCTTCCCGTTGTCCGACCCTACCGGCGCACCCCCGCCCAAAACCATATCCATCGGTTTCATCACAATCTGGAGGTCTGGGAAGATAGCGTATCGTTCTGTGATTGCGAAGTCATGCAGGAACGATGGCTGCCGCATCGAGAAGATGGGCACGTCGTCTCCCGACTTGTTCCCGTCGGAGTCAAACCAGAAATAAGTGAGGAAGGGAGGGACGGGACCATAACGGAAGGCAAACAGCTCCCCCGTGACAGGATCCTTCTTGGGGTGGGCGGTCATCCCCATGAAGAGCCGCCCCTCGAAGTCACAGCGGCCCAGCGTGGCAACGTCGCCGTCATCTGAAGACACGCGCACGGCATAGGGCAGGTCCGACTCGCCCAGAGCGTAGAGTCGGCCACCAAAAAAGGCCAAGCTAGTGTTCGCGAGGCCCACCCCCTCGGCCGGGTTCATCTGCCCCGTCAGTACCCTGACGGCAGAAACAGCGCCGCGCGCCATACCAGCGGCTCCGTGGAAGGCGGAGAATATGCTGGGGAGGATAGGGGCGCCCGCATCGCGCTCGAGGAGGTACCTGTAAGTGCGAACGTAGCGGGAGCAGAGGATGGCGGGGGCCATTCCGTCGCTCCCTGCCGGGGGGAGAAGGAGCGAGTGGAGCATGCCGTCCCCGTCGAAGAGATGATGAGGCCCTCTGGGTAGGTGCTGAGGGTTGGGTCCGTTACGGATGTAGGCGCCTCCGGCGAGGCAGCGTGGTATGGCGCCGCGGACCACGGGACAGGATGTCGGAGGAAGCTCGTCCACTGGAGCGAAGTTGTTGGACAGGACGTGGCGTGGATCGACGGAGGGACGGAGAACGGGTGGATCAATGAAGTTATTGATGAGCTCGTCGAGTGCGTTGCAAAAGGTCGCCTGCGGGGAGGGTGCTGCTCGTACTCGTGACACTGGTGCTGGCTGGAGACGGGGAGGAATTGACCTGTGGTTGGTCCGCTGGCTGATTCCTGAGTCCTGTTTGTTATCCTGATACGGGGTGGTGGTGGTGGTGGTGGTGGCGGTGGATGTGGGAGCAGTTTTGGTTTTGGGCTCCGCGGCACGAGGTTTCTCCTCTATTCTAACGGCCGATATGCGGAGGAAAGAACGAGGAGGAAAGGAGGAGGATGTTGGTGGTGGAAGCCTGGAGGGACCAAGCATTCGGAGCCGGCGGGAGGTGGCCGACACTGAGGAAGACGACGAGATCAGGAGGACATCCATTTTACTGGATGAACAAAGGCAGAAAATGTGGTCCACTGGCGTTAGCGCCTCCTCTCCTCGCCTCTCGGTTTCCTCCCTTGGAGGATGAGTGGTGCGAGTGGCGAGCGTGGGGACCGACCTTCATTTATGGTTGCTCCGCTCCTCTCCTCTCCGACCAACCTATGGATGTAACTTAACCTGAGTCCCACCTGATATAATTGATACCTTCGACAGCAACCTTAATTTCTCTTTCTGATATTTGAATTTTATTTTCATATTCACAATCATAATAAACCGTATTCACGTATTTACGGATGTTGATCAGCTCTGCAGATCACAAGATCCATCGATTTTTTTTCCTTGGGATGCCTATTGGATGGATGCTTGCTTTCGTCGATTGATGACAAACGCGGCAAAAAATCTTCTCTCCTCCTTTCTGTGTCGGACAATAACTATAATAACCAATCACTTCTATCGTCTTTGTTTATGGCAACAATGTCCGTTCTATCTTTTCGACAATAATGAAGATATTTTGTTCCCCCATTTATTTGATTCACGGTGTACCATTACTCACCTCTCGTAAAACATGAGGTATATGACTGTCTCCGATATATCCATTAGTTTACCAATTATCATTTAAATAAAATGTGTATGAAAGCCCTCAAGTCTAAATACATCCAGTAGCCTTTTATGATAGAAGATAAGATTTTCTTAGGAAAAATATCTATTCTGTCGAGGGAAATCCTTCCTCCTAATTTGTATAAATAGGAGAGGAACATGTTGATGTATTTAAGCTAAAGTTACTTCAATAAAGCTTCTTCAATAATTATTCTTATCTTCTATTATTTTCATTGATCTTCATTTATTACATGACCTATTGTTTTATGAATCAATTATGGTGGAGAATAATAGTAGTCATGAATAAGAACAAGTTGGAAAAACATATATGAAAGTAGAAGAAATGATATCCGATCTTCAAATTAATTTAGAAATTTTCTAATGGAAGGTTCAAGTATTTTGTAAATAAAGTTCCTTGAAATAGACAATTTTATTTTTATTGAATGTATGAAAGTAACTTTTTTTCATCTATTGATGTAAGAGTTTGAAATATTTATTTTTTGTGGTTGAAGATATAGAATATGTTCCAATATTGACATGGAAAATATAATTATCAAAGATTTGAGGACCATAAATCTTGATAATTATCTGGTGAAAATATAATTATCAAATATTTGTGTGAGATGTGGTTGCTGTCCTTTCGTTTGAGCTAAAAAAATAAAAAAGACTTCTTCTCTCCTCTAATCCCTCTCTCAACATTTCTCCTTCTCAGTCTCCTCCTCAGTTTGGTTGAGATCAATTTACGGAAATTCAATAATAAATAAGTTAAATTTTTTAAAAAATTTTAATTTAGGCCTTTTAAAGATCCTCCTCAATATAACTCAGAAAATAATATAATCTCTTTCAAAATCAGTGTAACTTCAAAGTTTTAACTTAAATTTTCAGAAAACCTTAAAATTGCAGAATGATAGGTTTAAATGACCCTCATTTGAGGCTCATTTCACATATAACATTACTTCAAAAAAACATAAATTCTTAATGGGCCATTAATTTTTCCAAGGATGAAATTAGCCACAAAAAGACTTCATTTTTCCATTAAAATCAGCCTCACAACTCAAGGTAATTTTTTTGAGTAATATAACCCTAATTGGCCATTTGTCTCATCTTGTTTACATTTAAATGATATATTTACAGTTAGTAGACCCTTATAAGGCTCAAAATTAACTAACTGAAAATGTCATATTTTTTTTCCTATTATTGGACCCCTCAAAGAAGTAATTTCACACAATCTTTCTCAAAAAGCAATGCAATAGATTATTTCACAAAATCTTTTGCAAAATATGTAATCTCTCCTTTGTTGGAAAATTTTATTAAAATACAAAGAAATTTATATTAAATATCTATTTAATAGAAAATTTAATTATTATAGGTGTTTGAACCCAGAAACCTTTCACAATAAATTTGGATTAGATTAATCAATCACTACAACTTTAAATGGAGCTTTGGTTTGAGAATCAAATCATGTTAGCACATAATAGTGTAAGTTATACATTGGAAAATCAACTAGTGTAAGTTACACGTCAAAAAATAGACTAAAGTGTTACAAATCACAAGACTAGATCTAATGGAAAAAATAAATATGAGAGCGTTGGATGGAAAAAAAATGATCTTTAAGAATTTTGACGAAAAATAGTCTATTTAAAAATACAAGTTTGATTGAGAAACTTCAGTTATTAAATATTTTAACATGATTAAGGATTTTATTAGAGTGTCATGATTGATTATGAATTGATAAATATTTCTAGATTGAAGTATTAGCAGCGGAGGAGTAAATAAGCAACGAAAGCGACACGAAGCAAATCGTATGAGATTAACCGAGGATCAACAAACAAAGAGGAGGAGATCGAGGAGGTACCAAAAAAGGGCAGCAGAGATAAGGACATGTTTTAGTCCCATTTCCGAAGAATTGCAGACGAAAGAACTTAAATGGCATGATAATTTATTTATGTTCCGTCGTGTTTCAGGGGCGAGATGCATAACGTGTTAGTGGTGGTTTGTAAGATGCTCGACGGGCGGGCCATGCGTTTGCTCTCGACATGACAAGTTGGACAAGGGAACGATGAGTACATTTTATACAGGCGGGCCATTTGTTTTCTCTTCCACGTCAAGGAAGGTACGAGAACGATGGGTGCATTGGCGGAGGACAACAATGAATTAGCACAAGGAACATCCACTCATCACCTAACTCGCACCTTTTGCCTACGAAAATCGTGTAAGCATTAACAAATTATAATATATTTATTATTTTATAAAAATATTAATATTAAAATTTAAAATTAAATAATAATATATATTTAAAGTTATAATATATTTTTTTAATATTACTTAGAAAATTATTATTGATTTATAAGTATATCATCGTTGGATCTGAGATTTATAATGATATCTGTAAAATCTATGAATTTAGGGATAAAGAAAATATGAGAGTAGATCTATAATCTCTAATTGATTGGTTCATATACGAAGATGATAGAATATTTGTGATGAGGATAGTAATTATGATAAGACTCAACTGACGTCAAATGACGCCTCACGCAATAGCACCTGGTCAATGCAGATCGGAACGCCGACCGAGGCGCATTAACATTCTGCCAAAGCTCAATTCTTCACGCCATGCCAACACAAAGTCAGACGCTACCAGCTTGCCCCTGCAAGCGGGCAGCTCAGGAAGCAGTAAGCTTCCCTATAAATACCCTCTCGTTCATCAGAAAGGGGGGAGGAGAGACAGACACACAAAAATACTTCTTCATCTGAAACCCCCTCTACATCTGCTAACTTGATCGTCGGAGGGGTTGGGCCGAGCATCTCGGCCCGACCTTTGTGCAGGTGCGAAGCCGAATGTCCCCTCCGAATGCGCAGGCGAGGAGTTCCTGCCCGGAGGAGACGGCTACACCGTCCTGATCGGACACCGTACCCGACTGCCTCAGCGGGCTCGAGGAATGCCCCAGGGAGATCCTCGTCGTCCAGACTCGAATCGAGCCGCGTCGGCCCCGAGGCCACGGCTCAAAGTTGTTTCCCACAACAATTTGTAATGTGTTATATTATATGTTTAGTCCCTAAAAGATTCTATCTTTTTATAGTTGAGAGTAAAGGTTTTAGAATAAGTAATTAAGAGAGTTTCTCCTATTAATATCATATTCTAAATAATCCTATACTTCTTTTCTATATTAGTTGATAACCATAATCAAAATATAATTATATCCATGATACATCTTACCTAATTAGATAGGACCACAAAATCTATCATTTTTTCACTTGGCTTATTAATCGATAAGATATAAAAGGGTTCAAAATCAAGAATAAATAAAATAAAATTTATTTAAAAATAATTTTACTTAACTAGATTTTAAAATTTAAAAATCTTTTATAGACACACAATTAAAAAAATGGCCTATAAGTCTAATATATATAATAATTCTATATTAAGTTTGACTAGTCATACGAGTCATAGCGGTTGTATATTATCAATGTTATATTTTTTTTATATATTACAACACTATTAGCTCTTCTTAATATAGTATAAAATAACCTATGTAATTTCTCTTATCAAGATAATCCTATCATCATATTTAATAATAATATGTATATATATAAAAGTGTGAACAAGATAGTAAAAATAAATAACTTTAAGTACATAAACAAGAATATCCATTATAATGTTTACTCAAATATGCATTATCATATATTTTATGGGTCGCTTACAAATCTAATTATAAGAATATATTCTTTTAAATACTTTAAATAGTAAGTCTTAAGTCAATAGATCAATAATCAGTATAGTAGAACTTAAGTTATTAATTGATATTAGTTATGTCTGGACTCTTTTTCTCTAACCATTAAGTATTTTATACGAGAATACATAGAGCTACAATAGTACTTATCATTCTTAGAAAAGAAAACTACTGCGATATATCATAAAGTATCTTTAATGACTTGATAATTATGTCTGATCATATCAAGACTTGAGATAAAATTTTACGACCAATTAGTGACATCAAAGTATACCACAAAATCATCTTCCATTGTTAATAATATAATAATATATTACTTTATATTTTTTTTTCTATAAATCATCTCTCCAATGGATATAGATACAAATCATAAAGTGGACTTTTTGTTATTAAGACAACTAACAAAATTAGCACTTGAAAATACCATCATATCAATTTCATGTATGTGAGCATATCATATTTTCTCTTTTTTAGATATCTTATTGTTTTTTTGTAATATTTTAGTATTTTTATTCCTAGGTAACTCTACTATCTATCCAGTATTTTAACTACAAAATTGATATCTAATTTGGCAAAAACTTGAGCATATAATAGATTTCTAACTACATATATATAAATAATATTTTTATTTATCTAATTCTTTTCTAAATCATTTTAAAAATACTTGCTTTAACTAAAATTTTTATTTTTATCATTTTTTGAACAAAGTTATATACTAAATCTCTCCAAGACCCGATCAATATATCATTTTGAAGATAGTCCTAACAATCATTGAGATTTATCCCTAAATATCTTAATGCTAATATCATAAGATATCTCATTCATATC